AGCCTGCATATCTGGAGAATTGGGTGATAGAGTGATGGGTCTGTAGTTTGGCCATCTAGCGTACGTTATTATATTACAATCTGTGCTCATCTCGTTCCAGCACCTGCGGGATGACACTTTTGCTCATACTGCCGTACACATTGCAAGTTGGTAGAATGCATCAGGACGGGCAAACTGAGAGCGGCGTCATAGGCTCAACTATGTCTATTATATACGAAAGAGCTCAATCTAGGGAAGCGAACTTAGATATCCACTAGCTACTTTCAGACAAAAAGAGGTATCGGACGCTACTGCTATCCATTTGATGGCCATCAAAATGTGTCTTGCCAGCTTGGCTCAAGGGACCCGCTGTTTGATCTCAAGGTTCGGGTTTGCGGTATTGGCCATCGACACATGTATTCCTCACTTGCCATCATCTTTGTTATACTGATCCATTAACCTTGCGAATACGGAGATGGCCTGATTGGTCTTCCCGAACGCATCAACTCCTTAATTCTAAGCTTGGCTTGATGGTTTTCGTCCTCGAACCCTGATACTTTCTTTATTGCCGCTTTAACCCGCTCTTGTAATGCCCGCTGCTGTCCGGAAACTGAATCAAGTGAACAGGGGAAGCCTGCGTTTCCACCAAATCCTCGATAATCACACGGCACGTTCCATTAACTTTGCGGCATACCCTCAATCTGGCTGGTTTTGGACGATGGATAGTTCTGTTCCGTGGATCTTGAGTTTTCTACGCTGGTACAAATCACAGTGACTAGCGTTGATCTAGGAGTTATGCTAGAGGAATCAGCGCTCTATTTCTTACACGCTTGATAATGAAGAACAAGGTTTAGAAAAGAAGAGTAAGCTGCACTATTTAAATGTGTTGATTGATGTCTGAACATAACCGGCAAGGTAATTCTCGTCGTCCAAACCCAGCCGATTGTTCGTGTTCCTTTTCTTCGTAGACCGCCGCTACTCTTTGAAATATATAATCAAGTTTGGAAGAACAAGCAATATTCTTCTTTGCCATCTGCCATCTGCAGATGACGCTGCCGGAATTCTGAATCCCAAATAGGACATCCAAGGACCTCTTGAGGGGCTTGTCAAGGCTCTCCCATACCCTGAGTCCAGGTTCAGGTTGAGACCACGGTATTGAGATGATTGCATTCCGATATGTATGCTTTGCAAAATTGGCAAATCATTGACAGCTAGCCCACCTTTCTCGAAAGTAAAAAGTCTACGTTAGGACTGTCGGTATTTATATCTGGTACGAGGATGCTGACTCGCGCATCATTTCGTGTTTAGCCCTCGCTCTTTACTCCATGTCCGTATTTTAGGATACTTTACCAGTGCCAGTCAATTGCCTGAAAGCGCAGTTTGTGAGGGTTGGCCGTTTCTAATTCCGAGTCTCACCGGCTCCACCTCGCCTTCTCCTCCAGCTCTTTCGCAGGCTTGAA